TCAGGAATTTCAAACATTTATTTTTTTGTGGACATTTCCATGTTTCTGTGTAATTATTTGAGGGCAAGAGAGAAGAAAGATAATGTCTGTTTTATGTTCCAGCTTGCTGATTCTCTCCCTAAATTCAGAAGGACATGGTGACAGTATTTTTACAGCTTGTAACAACCAACTAGTCATGACGTATAGAGTATACCAAGAATTTATAGTATACGCTATACTTCAGGATAATTATCCATTTTCTACTATTGTAGTTCAATTATTTCAGGAATACATGGGGAAAGGAATGGGAAAAGAAGTGTGGGATTTTGGGGTTTTCATCTTTGAGCAGCAGATAATACCAGTCTACATGTTCCCCTACTTTCAAAACTGATGATGTGAGAATTATAAAGCTGTTCTTTGTCATTGTTCTGTTTGGATCTGGCTGTGACTTCCTTTTTCTATTGTTTCCAAGTTCCCATTTGGCCCGATGTAAGACCAATGGCAGCTGTTTGGACTCACCACTTTGAAGCTGGGCATTTGCTCTGATGCCTAAATATGGCTCAAGTGTTTATCTGTGGATTGACTGACACACACTTTAAACACAGTTGTAACAGATCCATTTCACAGCACTAGATGATTACACTCATTCAGAGATTTCCCCTATCACAATTTCCATACAGAAGGAAGCATTTTGCTTCTGGGAAGACGCTTGGAATGTGTGGGGTGCATGCCGATGGGTGATCTCCCATTGACAGGAGCTGTGAATGACAAGAATGTTTAGACCAGAAAAAAGTGACGGAGATCAAAAACAGATCACCATTTGTCCTAAAGAAGAAAAAAAATGAAAAGAAAGTATATAATACTATTAAACGGTAGGCAAAAGTAGAGGATGATGATCCCTAAGCTGCTGATAATACTAAAAAAAGACTCCCAGCTAAGGCGTGCATCTATGGAGTGGTGAGAGGCAGGGGATAAATGATGGCATTGTCATGGCAAGGAATTATGTCTCGTCATGAAATGTCCCCTTAGTCCCCAAAATTGCCTAAATTGTACTCTTGTGTTAAAATTTTTTGTATCTGTGATTTATATTTATTTTGAGTTTTTGTGTTGTCTTAGCTTCATACAGTATTGAATTGCTGACAAGTGTTAGCCACTTTGAGTCCCTCAATGAGGGAGAGAGGGCAGGGTACAAAACAAAGTAAATAAATAAATAAAAAATAAATAAATGCTCAGTAGAAGTTTTAAGCTTTAAATTACAGCAATGCTAAAGATCTGCAGAGTTAAGGAAAATTTGTTTTTACATGGCAGAATTCTTATTAGGAGAGAAAGCGTGTGTGTGTGTGTGTGTGTGTGTGTGTGTGGATTAAGGAGGTGGTTCCCCAAATTTTATGTGATAATGAAACAAATGTGGTATAGGAAAAAAAATATTTTAAAAAACTGGAAATTTGTGAAAAAATATCAGCTAGGTTGTTGGGGGAGAGTGGAGAATATATTGTTGATAGACTGCTGGTGGACTTTTTTCATGTCAGGAATGACTTGAGAAATTGTAAGTCACTTCTGGTGTGAGAGAATTGGCCGTCTGCAAGGACATTGCCCAGGGGACACCTGGATGTTTTTGATGCTTTTACCTTCCTTGTGAGAGGCTTCTCTCATGTCCCCACATGGAGCTATAGCTGATAGAAGGAGCTCATCCACGCTCTCCCCAGATTGGATTCGAATTGGAAACCTTCAAGTCAGCAACCCAACCTTCAAGTCATCAGTCCTGCTGGCACAAGAGTTTAACCCACGGCTCCTTCGGGGGCTCCTTGCTGGTAGACTAAACTACTAAGAGAGAAGGAATAGAAGGAGTAGACCTAAAGCCTATTTTTAAAAAGACAATGCACTCTAACCACTGAATCATGTTAATTCAATATAGGTTTTGTAGATTGCGTGGAATGAGCTTTTTGCTGAGAGGCAAGTCTACGCCACGGGACCAAGAAACCACACAGAGAACTTGATTACACCTTTATATCAGGTTTGCCCAATCACATGGGTTCCAGATCCAGACATTGACCAACCTCCCTGCTCAATGATGAACATAATACTTTGGCCCATTGGTGGAAGCCTTGCAAAGAAGCTATGCACCCCACCCCTACCCCCAACTAACGGTCCTCCCCTGTCACCAAGGTGTGTCAAAAAGTATCTGATCCTGTAGCCATGGCCAGACCTACCTCCACCATATATAACCCAAGTCCTATAAGAAGTATCGCCTTAATGTTACCAATGCTTTAGGGGCACTGATACTCCAGGACCCTTGCCAACTGTTCCCCCCGCAAAGTTGTGACAATACAAAAACCATCTCTAGTCAATGTATGCAAACAACACAAGAACAACTGTAATAGAGTGGATTTGTTTGATGGCACTCTGGAAATAATGGCTTCAGAATTGTTTGTTAAAAATAAATAAATACATGAGGCAAAATAGAGAGCTATTTTGAAAATTTCAAGCACTGCCAAGAGATCTCCGAATGTTATAGTTATGGCTTTTTTGGTTACTGCTTTTGTATTATTTCTGTCAATATAGCTAATATAAGATAATGGAGTGCAAAAGGAAAAAGAAAAAAGAAAATGCCCTGATTTTAGCTTGATGTAACATTTTATAGAGTACTAGCTTGGGTACCTAGTGTTGCCTGGGTTATTTTGAAAAGTATTTATTTTACAAAATGCATAAGGTTGTGGGTGAACTACAACTCACATCATGCCAGGTTAACCCCCTGAAACTTCATCAGTAGCTAAAGTTTGTCATCTTGGGCAACTTAGCTCTAGATGCATCATTGGTGGGGTTCAGTATGCTCTCTGGCTGCAGGATGAACTACACCTCCCACCATGGTGGGTCAGTCCCCTCAATTCTTTCCAGTATGCTCAGTTGGTAATTGTGGTTCTGGGCGCCAAGTTTGATCCAGGTCCATTGTCAGTGGGGTTCACAGTTTCTCTGGTTGTAGGTGAATTACAACTCTCAAAAATCAAGATCAATCCCTCCCAAACCACTCCAATATTCAAATTTGGGCATATTGGGTATGTGTGCCAAGTGTGGTCCAGGTCCATTGTTGGTGGGTTCCAGAGTGCTGTTTGATTGCAGGTGAACTATACATCCCAGTATCAACAATTCCCAAATATCAAGGCCAATTTTCCCCAAAAACCCATGAGTATTCAAAATTGGGCATATCAGGTATGTGTGCTAAATTTGGTCCAGATCCATCCTTGTTTGGGTTCACAGTGCTCTCCAGATGTAGGCGAACTACAACTCCTATAAATCAAAGTGAATTCCCCTCAAAGCCCTCCAGTATTTTTTGTTGGTCATCTGTCGGGGGTGCTTTGAATTCGATTTTCCTGCTTCTTGGGAGGTTTGGACTGGATGGCCCATGGGGTCTCTTCCAACTCTATGATTCTATAATTATATGATTCGATGAGGGTTCTGAGTGCCAAATGTGATCCAGGTCCATTGTTGGTGGGGGTCACAGTGCTGTGTCTTGATGCAGGGTGACTTACAACTTCCATCATATTGAGTCAGTCCCCCAAATCCCTCCAGTATATACAGTTGCTGATCAATTCCTCTATGGCCCCTTCCACACAGCCATATAACCCAGAATATCAAGGCAGAAAAAACCCCACAATATCTACTTTGAACTGGGTTATATGAGTCCACACCGCCATATTTCCCAGTTCAAAGCAGAAAATGTGTGGAAGGGGCCTCTGTTTGCTATGCACCATAGGAAAGGGTAGGAAAGGATTAAGGGAGAGACAGTGGGTGGGTCCATGCAAATTCCATACCAATGGAGAGAGAAAGGAACTCTTAGATGCCTGTGGTAGAGGAAAAACAGAAAATCTAGGATGATATTGTTTCCATCTGAAAGCCTTCACTTCGGTGAAGGCAGTATGATGCTTGTGGAGGACATTGGCAGGGCTCTTGGACATGTTTATGGCATTTGCTATAACCTGCAATGTCATTGGAGAGAGGGCCATTGGTGGCTCCTCATAAGTGGGGGTTATAGCTGTTTGTGGAGGCAAAAACCTGTCTGTGAAAGTGGGCACTGCAGACACGTACACACATACAGATTTTCTCTTTCATTATGTGTATAGCTGTAATAACCTCACTGGAGCTTTGGAGCCTCGCAGTACATATTGCATTGTTCCAAGGATTGTACATATATTTCAGGTTATTATCCTCAATTTATTTTGCTTATTGTCTTGGAAAATTACACTCATTGCCAAGTGACTGAAAATGGAATTATCATTTTACAGAACCTTTTTCTAATATCACTGAAGTACATAAAGTTGTAGATGCTTTTGACTACTTTACTTTGAACTCTCTATCTTGTGTCTCCTGCTGATGCCAACAGGAGGCAAAACTGGTTCCACATTGAATGTATTGTCATTGGCCAGGGAGAACTGGAAGCTTGATCCTAAATGAAGTAGATATGAGTGTATGTGTATTTGTTTATCATGTTGAGAAGGAAGAAGCCTTCCCTCCATTGCTATTAAATGACAGGATGAAGCAACTGAACTACAAAGATACCCACCTACATCAGAGTATTTTTGGCTTGCTGGAATATTTGAAAACATTTGACGGTCATCTGGTAATATACAACTGGTTAATTCACAGGCATCCTAAAATTATTATAGACATGCTCTGCATTGAGAAACAACTCCCACACGGACAACATCTGACTTGCTTTTTCATAATTGGATCTGTTTGCACACAGTCTCTATAGATAAAGATGACATTTCATTACATATCACTTCTTCAGAGCTTTTTTAAAGAGACTCTGGCTTGCAATTATTAGGGAACCAAGATAAGGAAATGAACAGAACATGTTGTTTCAAATATCACATCTAAAATTCAAAATACTGCAGATCACAATAGTTGGCTAAATATAGTCATGGATTAGAAAGCCATTGTTCCAATCCTGCTATATAAAACTTAGACTCTTCAAGTGGAATGCCACTTGACCTTTCATGTTCCATCAGTCAGTACTTGTATTTAACTGAGACAGGAACACCACACTGCCCCTTGGTGGTATCTACTTTTGACATGCCATGCCCTAGTGTTTTGTCCCAGCCATGTTCAGAAGACGTAAGACCAGCACTCTGGAACACAAGAGAGACTTCCATGGATCCACACTGCCTGCGCCCCATAATGATATGAGAACTTTCTTCAGCTTGTCTCAGCTTGTACTTTCTGCTGGCCACTTGAGACCGCCACCTGTTCAAAGACATTCAAAAATCGCTTATTTTGAAGTGGAGGTTCTTGATACCCAAAGCAAAAAACAGATTTGTGTAGTAGACAAGGTAAGTGTGTGCGTGTGCATGAATTTTTATGTGTGTACAGGAGAATGAAGAGGGAAGATAATGTTTTGCAGCATGATGTGGAATTAATCTATTGTGCATTGTTGCTAGTAAAATATAAATTCAATGCAAATTATTCAGTTTTCTGCAGTTTTTACAAATAAAAATGGTCACTTTATTTGAAACAAGAATTTTAATCATTAACTCAACTCCATTTTAGACAAGAGAGATTCCTCTCATGGCATTTTTGAAAAGTCCATTTCGATGTGATGCTATGATTTTTAGACACAGTTGAAAATCAATAAGGTGTACCACCTTATTTTGAAGCTGGGATGCATTTTTCTATAGGCTCCCTGTTCTGTATCTCCCAAGATGAAATTTCTTGCTCTAATGTGGATTATAAATTAATGTAAACTTTCAACCAAAAAGTTAATTCTTGCTTCCTGACTTAAAGGGGAATCTGCAGAACTATTTATATTGATGCTAAAAAGAGAACACTAAACCAAAAAGTCATCCACTGCAGATATTTGTCATGAAATATTTGTTATTCAACACTATTGCTTGGTGTCTTGTGATATGTAACATCTGAACCTGTGGTAGCAATTGATATTTGACAGATAAATGCTTTTCTGATTTCACTTTCAGCATGTGATTGAGTATCACTGTAATCTGATGCATCTTTATGCAACAGTTGAGCTTAGCATTTTCAGAGGGATGTATTCCCAAGTGAATGTCGTTGCTGCCTACATCATTTACATTTGTCACTTTAATTATTTGATAGCTGCTTTTCAGTTTCCACAGTATCTCCCCTGGATATTCTTTTTTAAAGCTAGTGCTATTTGAATGGGCTCACTGCCCCATGTATTTTGTCTTGCCATTTCTGGTCAATGGATAATAATAACACATTTGCATCACACTTTAGAAAGTTCAACAGAGCTTCACATATGCTATCTCATAGCAATGACCAGAGTAACTCATTATTATTATCCTGTTGTTGAAAGGGTTGATTATAATGATTACCTGAGGCCGCTCTGTGAATTCATGACACAAGTGAAATTTGAACTTCCTAACATTTAGCTTGACATTTCTGACATGCTGATTCATAGGTCACAAGAACTGTGTATAATCACATACCACTGTGTATGTGTGTGGTTCAGTTGATCCTAGGGATAGGAAACAATAAAACATGACTTCATTCATTCTTGCATGTGAGAATGAAAACCATATACTTTTTTTATTCAATGTAGCTTTCTGGGGGTTACATAAAGAGCATGAGAGCATCATTTTTTTCAGTTGGATTTGCTTCTGAGGACTTTCTGAGAAAAAAAATCTTGAAGATTTATTTTTGCAAAAAACATATTGTCACAAAACACAATAAAAACAGAACAACACATACACACATATAATTAATAGTTAATAATATATAGAGAGAGAGAGGGAGAGAGAGAGGGAGAGAGGGAGGGGGGGAGAGTTAATAATATATATATATATTGGCCATGATTCTAATCAGTGATATAATTAATTATACTTAATTAACCTTCTACCCACACTGCAAAATTATTGTTCTTTGACACTTCTTTGACATATCTCCATCCTAGGGACTCCTGGGTTTGTTACCTGTTGTGGCACCAGAGCTCTCTGACAGAATAGGGAAAATATTTCACAAAATTACAAATCCCAGAATTTCATAGCAAGGAGCTATGGCATGTTGTGTCAATTTGCTATAACTCTGTAGTAATTTCTCCTGGCCTAACCATCTCTAGACCTGATACAAACATCAATCACCTGTGCACACCTGTGGTCTGATCACTGGCACAATGGATCTAGCCACCGTCGCCTTTGCCACTCTCCCTGTCCTCCCTCACTCACTCCCTCACCCTTTCCTCCATTGCTTGCTCACTCAATGGGCCGAGTCTTGGTTCTGCCCCTGCGATCTGTCCTGGTGAGTGAGCGAGCGAGGGAAGGTGACAGCAGTGGCGGAAGCAGGAGCCTGGAAGAGGCAGCCAGGCTCCTGCTTCTGCAGCCGCTGCTGCCTTTGCCACCCTTCTTGCCCGCTCGCTCATCCTCCCCCCTCACTCACTACTCACCGGGCCGAATTGTGGTTCTGCCATCGGGACCTGGCCAAATGAGTAAGCAAGCGAGGGTGCGTGAGTGAGCAAGTGAGGGCACCGAGAGTAACAAGAGCAGCAACGGTGGCAGAAGCAGGAGTCTGGCCACCTCTTCCAGGCTCCAACTTCTGCAGCTGCTTCCAGTTTTGTGGCCCTCTGTCCCTCACTTGCTCACTACTCACCAGGTCGGGTCCTGGTGGTCCCTTGCTCCCTCACCTGCCCTCCCTTGCTTGCTCACTACTCACCAGGCCACATCCCGGTGGCAGAACCACAACTCGGCCCGGCGAGTGGCAAGTTAAAAAAACCACAAAACAGCAAGTCTGCAAAAAGTGAACTGCGAAGTAGCGAGGGAACACTGTAATATAAACGTTAAAATCACATAATCCAGAAATCATGGTCTAAGGCCATTGCAAATGTCAAATATCAATTGCACACAATCCCTGATAATTCATTGTATTGCTTACTGCCCAAAGGCTTGGTTTTACTTTTGTTTCCTGAAGGCCAGGAGGGAGGACACTGATCTAATTTCATTGTAGAGGGTATTCCATAGTTGAGGAACCACCACTGAGAAGGTCCTGTCCTTCGTCCACACCAGTCGCACCTGCGAGGGAGATGGGACCGAGAGATGGTTTGTAGAGGGAGATACGTTCTACAGAATATTAAGCCCTGATTTTAATGTAATTTTTAAGTCATTGCTTAGGTAGATTGCTATTATTGATGAAGATTGATGCTGGGAAAGAGTGGCTTGCCTAAAACTACCTTAATTTATAGAAGAGGTGAAATTCAATCCAGTGATGTCCATCTTCATAGCTCAGCTGCGCAGAAAAAACTAAAACATCTTCCTAGATTATTTTTCTTCTACTGTGTTAATACTGAGACTGTTGTGCTGAATCTCATGAATTCATGGTTTCTTTTTCTGCTCTAATATATCTTGGCTGGGCTGAAAGATTTTAAATACACACTCACTTTGATATTTAGTTTTTAGATCTTTCAACTGAGAAATGGAAAATAAAAATTAAGGATTTGTTAAAATCTGTTCATTTTGTTCTATTCAGTTGGATATCCTTAGAAACGCTGTAAATAAAAGCTGAATTTTGTATGTCCCTATTTTTAATGGTACAATTGTTGATCTCATTCTTAGTGAGATTCTCACACTTTGCCAGTATCAACCAGGGCAGCCCCCACCCTTCTGTCCTTTAGGAAGAACCTCAAAATCTTCCTATGTGAAACAGCTTTTAGCTAATCTTGACAGGAGCCTGAAGCTGCATTTTAATCATGTTAACTATTTATATTATTTTAGTTTCTTAGGAATTTTACTGGTTTATTATTTAATGATAATTTTATGGCTGTTGGATGGTCGGGGAATTATTTGATGGACTTTTATTTGATTGATATTTTTATATTTGTGTGTAGTTGCTTCTGTAAACCATCTTGAGTCTTTGGAGAAAGGTGGTATAGAAATGTCCCAAATAAATAAATAAATAATACTGCCACATAAAGCTAAGCTATCGTTTGTGTGGGTAGTGGTGAACAACCTTTCCTGCAGCCTGCCAATGCATAGTTCCAAATCTTCTATAAGCCATAACTTCAAAACGCTGAAATGCCAAAACTTCTTTCCCTAAGAACAGTGCCAAGGACCAGATCTCTGTTTTCCATACAGCAGAACCTGACTCCCTGCACAAAATCTAAGACTCCAAAAGCGCACTTCTTCCTCTTCCCTTGAGAAAGAAGGCCAAAGTGACCAGACTGCTCCTGTGCAGATCTGCCACTCTCTGAATATACCATCTTTGTCCTTCCCATGGAGCAGAGCATAGCGGGTGAACCGGACTCCTTAGGTCGGTCACAATTTGAGCATTATTGGACTGAGTCTTTTATAGGGATATTCTGTTGATGTAGTCTCAAAGTTGTAAATTAATGATAGACGTCTTCCATCCTGGATCCATCTCAGTGTTGATCTTCTTGATTGGTGTTAACAAACAAATGGATTGTGTTGACTTCCTTCTTAACATAAGGAAGGTTGCAAACATTTCCTTTATCACTGTCCCGTTCTTATCAGGGTTTCTCATTAGCAAGTCCAGCAAGCAGGTAGTTAGTCATTGCAGGCCTTAATATTATACTGGTGTTTCCAAAATTATTAGCTCCATCCATACATCCTTCCATCCTTCCATTCATTCCCACACATCATATTAATTTTACATTTCTCAAATCTGCAATAATATTTTCATGGCACTTGTGTGTGTGTGTATGAATGCAAACAAACACACACACACACACACGGCCCGTACGATCAATGAAAAAAATGGTTTGATACTCATTATGAAATTGGAGAGGGGGGATTGTTTTTTAGGGTGTTTCCGAAATTTTGGACCTAAAAAATCTGTGACTATAACAAAGTAATGAATTTTTTATTACATTTTCGTCAAGCAATTAAGCAAGTGGAAAAACTTCAGGGGCTCATTTCTCCCTCATTTTAGAGCTATTGTGATGAAACATGCATTAATTGTACTGCACATTTTCCACTGTTAGCCCACCAAGTTTCTGAACATTACACTCATCCTCTAATTTTTAGGGAAATTTTGAATTTTTTACAAACATTTTTTTAAAAAAACCTACATGAGCTATCTACTTGAATTTTATAAATAATGCACAAGATAACCAGGGCATCAATCCCCAGAAGTTTCAGAAAGATTCACACATATACAGATTTTGGGGGGATTTTTTAAGTTTAGACACAAACATTTATCCTCCAAAATCCACAACAATCCCCTTGAATGTCTGTCTAACAGTGTGTCTATATTAGGGGTGTGCAATTCAGTTAAACCCTAATACCATTTTTGGTGTCGAGATTAAGGTTTTTCCCCATTCATTTTTGGGAATCTCCACATTTTGTTGAGG